CAAAAAATATGTTAAGCAAATCTGTAAACTGAAATGTGGCCTATATGTTCTGTGGCATACTCGTACATTAATCTATCGTATGAGGAGCCGGATTTGAGATACTGATATAGCTCAGATTCATGTACTGGTACTGTGGCAAGTAGACCTGTTGCTAGGCAATGGTCTCGAAATAAGCGCCTATGCAACAGCCGTTGCTAGGTAATAGCTCCGCAAACGACTGATGCTAGGTAATTTCCGCAACAGATTGACAACACACAACAATGGAGTAATTGGGAAGTGGCGTTCTCTACGCGGTCGTCTGCATGAACTTTCAGTGAAGAGAAGTTGCTTTGAGAAGGACAGCAATAAAGCGTACGATTATTTAAATCTGTAGAAATTACATGATATCAGTAAAGGTAAAGTTGTCTCTGTCCTTAACTAATTAAGCACTACGCCATGAAGGCGTACTGGGGAGTGGATGTATAGATCCACATTTTCTTGACCTCGACACTAGCTGGACGTGAGTGGTCAGCTTCACGCTCCTGCCGGTTCCCATTGGGTAGGCCCTAGAACCGGTCCTGACGCTGTGGAAAACAGAAAATTCTTGACCTCACCGGCAATCTATCTCCGACCGCTCGGTCGTCCAGCCCGCAGCCAGCCGCTATACTGGCTGCGCTATCACTGCTCCCCATATTATAACATGTGTGCATAAAATTATGAAATCTGACGCAGAGGAAGAAGACAGTGATTTGAACTGTAATTAGAATAGAAGAGAAATAAATAGACATTACAGAAACCCCTGTCATGACAGTTGCTGTGGAAATAATAACGCCGGAAAGTAATTCAGGGTTTGGCACAGATTGGTAGCCCTATTAAGGCTAGCGCTGGATTAACCCCACATTTAAATATACTGTCGTCTCTAGCACGTGCAGACCTTGTGCAACACAAACATTGCACAGTGCGCCTGTCAATACAATACAACGCTGTATTCTTAACCTTATAAGATTTGCAGGACTTCTGTCTTCAGAATGAAGAGCGGCAGGGTCTGCGCTTGCCTCGAGCAAGTGGTCCTGAAGAAAAAACACACACACAAGGAAGGTAGAGATGAAAACAAAACAAACTCCGTGGTCTGTAGTCCGCAAGCGAATTATAGTGCCCGAGCCACCGTTGCTTGTCGGCGAAGTTGGTGCCAACTTTAGCGGATAGATGGTGTCGCGTGGTCAGCGCAACGAAGCCCCACGGCTGTTAATTTCGGGAACCTTATTCCATGACGTGCCTAGTATTAGAGGAGCGAACTATCGGGTTGTGGTACAAGGATGTTAGTTAAGTTAAAGGTATCTCCGTGGCCTGTAGTCCGCAAGCGAACTATAGTGACTGAATACCACTGCTTGTCGGCGAAGTTAGTGCCAACTTTAGCGGATAGAGGATGTCGCGTGGTCAGCGAATCACCACGGCCGTTAATCTCGCTTTTCTAGACCGGAGCCGCTATTTCCTTGAAATAGCTCTTCGATTATCCTCACGAGGCTGAGTGGGCCCCGTCAAGACCCACTACTTCTCAGAAAATCTGGTAGCGCTGGGAATCGAACCCGGGACCTCTGGATCTATAGGCAGGAATTCTGGTTACTAGACCACAGAGGCGGTCAAGTTAATGGTATCAACTTATTGAAACTTAGTTTAGGTAAAGAAACAAATAAGAAGACGTGTCTGTAATCTTCATAAGTGACTGAAGAAGAAAACGATGCTAAAAGTCAATACCCTTCCATGGCCGTTAAGTGAGAAATTTCAAAAATAGGAAACAGCTTAATTGGATCGAAATAAGCTAAGAATGTGTCTAGCATAAAGGGGATGAAAGGGGAGAAGAAGAAAAAGGAATTGAGAAAGAAATACTAACCACAGCGAAGAACAATGCCACGTGAAAACTGCAAAAGGAAATAAATTAGTTTCTTTTTACAGACACAAGGGAAGACAAATGAAGGAAGAGGAACTGCGTAGTAAGCGGTTAAGGTTCTCGTCTGCCGTGGGGAGACGAGGCGCCACATGCTCAGAAATGGCCATAAAGAGATAAAAACAAATGAGGCGCATCAAACGTAAAATGGGTTTAAAATAAAAAGAAGTGAAAAAGATGAAGGAACTTTAAGAAGAAATATAAAAGTTTTACTTGCAGAGTAGCGAACGAAATATCGGCAAATGTAAATTTTAACAAATGGAGAAATAAACATTACATAAATTCAGTTAACATTTAGAAAGGAAGCGCCCTTTCTTATGGTTCCCCACAAAAACACATTTAAAAGTTATTAGTGAAATCACCAGAAATTGACTGTATTGTGTTCCCTGAAAAGTGACGAAATTTCACAGTTATCATCAATGGTGGGAACAGGTCTGAGGCTGTGCATGTTGAGAAAGTCCGAAAGATCAATTAAACACATTAACTCGATTTCTTCGGAGTCAATCCGCCATTCTTGAGGAATGACAACCTCTGGCTTATGAATTTTAACAATAAAACACTCGTGTGCAATGTAGGACAAAATCGCAATATGAAACTCCTCTGAAAATGTGGCAAAGTTTGTATAGTCCTACTTGGAAGGAACAAATCAAAATTGTCTTTATGATAACGAACTGTTGAAGTCAGATAAATCTTTCTACCTCTCATTTAAAAGTCATCCAAATTCCCTCTCTTATCGAAACACTAAATTTTTGCAGAGTTATAAAATACAGAAAGTTATACGTTTATCAGGTTCTCTTTAGTACAAAACATTGGATCTCACAATAATTGAAGGATAAATGTGAGAGAAATGGACCGAGAAGTTTATTTAGACGTAAAAGAAAGAAAATAACAAGAGAATGGAGAAAATTACATAACGAAGAGCCCCATTTAATATCAGTTATTTTGCGGTGTTTTCACTACCCAGGATATATAGCGTGCAAGGGTGGAGCAGTGCAAGATTGGTGAAATGGACAGGATTTGGTATGAAGCGGTGGTGGTCTGATTTATCTAATAACCCGGAATTTTCCTATAGTCTCTCAGGGAGACCACGAACACATTCAGTCAGGGTACCTAATATCTAGGCCATGATGGGACCCAAGCATCACTCCCCTCCCAAAAAAGGGTATAGATATTTACCGTAGCACCAGCCTGATCGGTGGAGTTTCTGCACAATTTGATGACCTCTTCACTAGGTGTTGGTGGCCTCAACAGCCGGTTGACCAAATCAAGGAAGATAAGATGGACTGGGCGTGTAACACACACGAAGAAGAAGAGAAATTCGTACAGAAGTTTAGTCTGAAACTTCCATATTGACATGGGAGAATAATATAAAATAGGACTTAATGCGTAGGAGAAGGCATCATTTCAAAAAAGCTCATATTCCAGTATGTGTGGCAAAGTGCAGGGGCTACTAAGAAATGAACTCAGAACAGGTATAGTGCTTCAGTTCTGTGACAGAGTGACTACGTGTGTTCACATACGACTCGCAGAAATGGATTATGAACAGAGTAGATAGAAGACTTGAAAATGTTGGAAATTAAAATTTAAAATATTTTGTTGGATTATTCACAAGGAAAGAAGTGACCAGAGAGAATATTTGACAGTTTTGATATTGTCACGTGTATGAGTGACTGTACATCGGGTTTAGATTAGTAATTAAATTTGCTGACAACTTAGAGATCGCAACTACAAGTAACTATAGCGCTGTCGGTATTTCACGCACTCTGCACAGCACGTACAAAGTCTTCTCAAGGCCGCGCCATAGCTCAAGCGGTTAGTCGCTGGCTTCCCACCGCTGCGGCCTGGGTTCGATCCCGTGTTTGGTCAAGCGGGATTTTGTGGTGGACAAAGTGGCGCTGGGGCAGGTTTTCTCCGAGTACTTCGGTTTCCCCTGCCAATCTTCATTCCACCAATTGCTCCACAATCACCCTCACCTATCATCTGGGGCTGGTACAATAGGCCAGAAGTGACCGCAGTACAAGGGACTTAGTCCCACCCCACTAATAATAAAAAAAAATCTTCTCAGTCTGCTGTGTCTTCACTGGTTGTCGCCTGGTAACGCCTTCCAACGCCATAAATTCCTCAGTTTCCGTGTTTACGCTCTTACTGGCCGGCGGCTGTCTTACAATTAACTAACTCAAAGTCACATTGCGACTGACGGTCAGTCAGTCAGTCAGTCAGTAAATCTTGGTGTCGAGCCCCATCTGGGACTTATGACAAGATGTTTGATATCTATTAATGTTTGACAGTTACGGTCTTGTTTTTGTGGGGCGCCCTCTCTATTAATTCAGTAATTCGGTCTGAATATACTGAATTATCTAACTTCAAACTTGTCCTGCTTATAATATCACGGCACGGAACGCACAGAAAACACATCTTCCAAGAGTTCTATTGTTGCGTCACGTAGCTGTAGCATGAGCTGCTTAAATAACGCCGCTTCCTAGTTACTTCATTAGTGCGTATTAAGAAACTGTTGCGGCCATTACCTAGCAACGGCCGTTGTTTACAGAGCCATTACCTAACAATGACCATTGTATAGCTCCCTGTTTCACGATCGTTACCTAACAACGGTTCTACATGCCACTAAATATATATCAGTGTGAGATTTTCAGGGTGATGATTGTTCAGATTGTGATATTCAAGGTTGTGACACCGTGTGATCTTGTAGACAAATGCAACTTTCTGGAGAAACATGCTGCTCGAATCTTCAGGTTTGAAGCTGAAAATGGAGACAGCATACTCCTCCGATACTTTTTATCCACCTACTGTGTTCCAACCCTGAAGACAACAATCTGAATATTTGTATATATTTGGAAAATTTGTATATTTTATTTGGCAAATTGCTAAGAGAACATATACACAAACGTTCATCTTAAAATTGTGTACTTACTAATCCCAAAGTCATACTCGACCAACTCTACAGAATGAAATACTTGAAGAAACGTAGGAGCCGTAAGTCCTTTGTTTCTGCAAGGAAGAATTAGGCTTAATAAACAGTTAAGTGACAATCTGCATGTCCTTTTACCGCTGTACTTACTCCTTGGTGTCATTCGCGTCATGGTTCGATGCCCGCAGAGAGGTGTAGATGATAGTGGGAGCCAGAGGCATTGCCCAACCAAGGCCGTAGAGCCACTTCACGAGTCGCGACTCTGAGATAAAGGCAGCAACCAGCAGCGTGTGAAGATAAAACCCTTCACACAGCATCCACGCATAGTTGGTCAGCAGAAAGTAATGCAGAATCACATGAAGGACCTTGCAACCCTCCTGTGAGTAAGGACACTGTCTTTAGTTCCCCTGTATGGACAAATGTTTCCAGACACAAAAATAAGGTCACTCAATAGACATGAGACAGTTAAGGGAAACAATTTTTCCTGTAGTTTGAGTGTCGGGAGAGGATTTTGTGGGGTACACAGTAGAATTGCGTTATATTTTGAAAGTAGTTTTGAATATGTAGTGTCATATGCAATGTTAGTATGACTACACAGTTAACCGTGGAGTCGATACAGCGATATTATATATATGAGGTAGGCCATGGCGTGTGAACACGCCTGGTTCCGACAGCAGCCCAAAGAATTTTATGCTGCTGGTTTTCAGGGGCTTGTGAAACGATGGGACAAGTGCCTCAATGTACAGGGAGATTATGTTGAGAAATAAAAGCATTTTTCAAATCAGTCCTCTTATTTGTTTACGTTCTATATCCATTTGTAACTTACTTACTGACTTACCTACGTATAATAAAATATTTATGCTGTTGAATGTGCTTCTGCTGCTAATGTTATTTGTAGGGACGTTGAGGTATTTGGAACTAAAGCAGTTTCTGTCAGTCTTTCTTTATAATAGTACTTCCTGATTACTAAAATGTGAACTGTATTCACGATGTATATTCATTACCTGCAAAATATATGGCATGGTAGCGCTAATGATGTTTATTGTTGCCTATATCAGTGGTTCTCAACCTCTGTCAGACCGCGGCCCGGGAAATTCTTTTTTCTATGAAACGAGGGCCCGGTATCGCCCCGCGGCCCCTTTGTCTTTTGTTTGTGTGTATGAGTTTGATTTATTTATTTATTTTGGTGGTGATTACCGTATAATTGGCCTTTAGGATGTCGAGCAAGCATGCAAATAAACAAAGAGTTGAATCGAATTTAAAATTATCGCAGATATCAGCCCTCACGCCAGCAATGGATATCTCGATTTTTTTTGTGAATGTTTGTTTGAATAAGTTTAAGGTTAACATGAAAATTCTGACTGCGTCTGAACACTCTACGAGTAGTTCATGATCTCCACAAACATCAGCGTAAGAACAGGGTAAGACACTCCAATAAGAGACATGTGTTGGATTTCTGAGTAACTGAGCATAAACTTTAAACTTTCTCGAGCTCTGAATTTTGAGTATGAACATAACACAGCCAAATATCAAAGCATTTATGAAGACATGACAGATGATGAATTGGCAGCAAGGGAGACCTGAACCTCCGTGAGAGGAATTTAAAATTATCGCAGATATCAGCCCTCACGCCAGCAATGGATATCTCGATTTTTTTTGTGAATGTTTGTTTGAATAAGTTTAAGGTTAACATGAAAATTCTGACTGCGTCTGAACACTCTACGAGTAGTTCATGATCTCCACAAACATCAGCGTAAGAACAGGGTAAGACACTCCAATAAGAGACATGTGTTGGATTTCTGAGTAATTGAGCTCTGAATTTTGAGTATGAACATAACACAGGCAAATATCAAAGCATTTATGAAGACATGACATGTGATGAATTGGCAGCAAGGGAGACCTGAGCCTCCGTAAGAGGAACATAACGAAACAGACCTCTGAGAAAAATGTGAAGATTGAAATAACATGACTGAAAACATGGTTCAACCGCGATTTCTTATATATACAGATATGAACCTTTCGGGTCCTTAAAAGCTGGATATTTCTTGAACCATAATGAATATATTATGAGCGGTTGTCTTATATTAATATATTTATGTGTTTAAATTTAATTGTTTGCTTAACATCTGCAATATTTGAATCTTATACACATATTCAGAAAGTTTCTCTTTAAAAATCTTGTGTATCTTATACTGTTGTCTATTTAGTTAAAGATATGAGTATGCAAGTTTCAGCGACAATGAAGCAATGTCATTATTATACACGGACTATTTTAAGTTTCCCATAGAACTGGAAATTGATTTCCAATCTCGTGCTAATTTTCTATTAATTTTATTTCAGACATTATTGTTAAAAACATTAAAATGCATATTACACGGTCGTTTTGAGTTAACTTATTAGTTTCTCCTGTACTTTAAATAAACGTATATCTCTATTTAGCCAAAAAATAAAGCCCTATTCCTACCCCACTTGTTACTTATATTGTCATTTCACTGGATACAAACAATCAGAGGGTGTAGAACTCCCGGTTGACTGTTACAGTAAAGAACAAGAAACATCTTCGTGTTGCAATAAAATACAGCCCATTCTAGTTTGTGTATACCCAAAGTATTTCGAGAATGAAAGCACATAAACATTAAAACTATTTTTTTTTTCAAGAATGTGGGCAGAGAAAGCTTACTTAAAAAGAAAGTTTTATACCGAATTCTTCAGTAGTTGTTATTCTGCTTTTCGTTAATAGCTCCTTCACTATTAAAGATACGAAGAGCTCATAAATATGCTATAGAAGCAAATCACATTTTAAAATATATTCCTCTTCAACATATCCTGTTAGTGAGGATCATATGGCTGCTCCAAATGGACGTAGGAAGCTATGTTTTCCAACCAGCTCGGATCAACTGTAATTGAACTTAATGAATACCAGGCGATCTATAAATTTTTTATTTTCCGAGAACAATTCTCTTCTAAAGAAACCGGTTTACGTACTAACGACTTACTAAATGAGTTTCTTCCGTCTCCCTTAATTAATTGTGTGCATTAATAGCTAAGTAACTTCCCACACATTCAAAATATCATGGGACAATACACTAGGATCAACATGGCCAGGCTTTACTGAGTTATTTCTTTGTTGATCACAACCAAAAAAACAAAACAAACTCCTCGGTCTGTAGTCCGCAAGCGAAGTATACCGACCGAGCGACCTTCGTTTGTCGGCCAAGTTAGTGCTAACTTTAGCGGATAGAGGGTGTCGCGTGGTCAGTGCAACGGATCCACACTGCCGTTAATCTCGGTTTTCCAGACCGGAGCCACTATTTCCTTGAAATAACTCCTCAGTTATCCTCATGAGGCTGAGTGGACCCCGTTCCAGACCCACTACTTGTCAGAAAATCTGGTAGCGCCGGGAATCGAATCCGGGACCTCTGATTCTGTAGCCAGAAACCACAGAGGCTGCTATTTCTCTGTTGTCGGTCCTTTTTATTCGTTTGTGTTGTATAAAATCCCTGAACACGACAGGTCTCACTATGCGTTCCAAGCCTAATACGTTTATATTTCAGATATCGTATTTATTGTTCCTGAAAGTTATACTTGTTTCGTAACTTCTCGGATTGCCCAGATTAAGGTAATTAGAGTAATACTGGTTTGAAAAGTATATAGAAGGATGTGGTCATGTCCTAACTTAAAAATTGCCCCCTTATTTACCTGAACGGACTGAGAAATAGCATGTAACCCCTCAGTCAAAATAAACGGTGTACCGGCTGGGAGTCGAGCCGGGCACTTTCTCTAACAGAAATCACAGAACTTACAGCTTCAGCGAATTTGGGCGGTCACTCCTCAATATCTGTAAATTCCACAACCAATGCAGCAGCTTTGCTCAGAAATGGGTCAGTGATTTATTCTTTTGTTTACGAACAGGGCATGGCAGCTTCGAGTTTTTCTCTGAGGGTCTGAATTTTTGAACTACTAACAGACACATAACTCCATACGTTGCTCTCTATTTGTATTATCTAACGAATATACATAACAGGTTTAGTGAAAAATGTTTCGAATCATGGGATCAGAGATTTGGAATTAAAATTAAATGAACTTCTGTTCAGGTTGGAAGCATTCACTCGGTAGATTTACCGCTGCCTTTGTTGTGTCGCCCAACATAGCAATCGGATTAAAACTGAATTAACCTTGATCCTCAGTGCACAATTGTTCAGTTTTATACACAACACTTTTCTATATACACGATTATTTATATGAAAATATAAATATTTAAAATGTACTTTTATAATTATAGGTATTGGATATTCCTCCATAAAGCTTGTTAAGATATTTCTAAATCAGACATAAGGACTGTAAGTTATTAAACATATTTTGAACTAAATATAGGTATATTTATTAAGCACGGTCCTATTATAAACTATTTAAGTTGAAGACTTCTATTGTCTCTCCTTTGTAAAGAATAAATTTCAACCGTATATCAGCAACATTGAACATCTGTAGCAGGATCCCATCTGACGTACATTCTACTGGAAGCAACAGGATTTATCTTCCCGTAAGGAAGTGGGAATACTTGATACAGCTTATCTGTATCATTTACTGCCGGAAACATTGCCTTTCCATGCAGATTGGAGCTCATGAAATACATGTAGCTTCGAAAGTTTCACTCGCAATCAAACCCATACCTTAATATTAAACTGAAAATAATTTTTTGTACAGTCAGACATATTCAAGAGCATGCGTTCACTTGAATGCGTCACACCGCTATTATTAGTCACTCTACAGCAACATACACGTACACACTTCGTGTGACCAGAGTAACACAGACAAACTAAGACGTCTACAGTTGGACTCTGTCAGAGAATCGGAGAACACAAGAATTGTTACGTTTAGCGGAAGGATAAAATAACATTCTGTGCAAGGAATGCATATGAAGAGTTTATCTTCAGGGAAATCATGTAGTGTAGTGCACTGCAGCGTGCAGGAAGAAAGCGGGTGTTTGCTGCCTGTTTCATTTTTTTTTTTGTTTGGCGTACAGTTCAAAACTGAAGATTTTTTTTATTGCTAGTGGGGTGGGACTAAGTCCCTTTTACTGCGGCCACTTCTGGCCTACTGTATCAGCTCCAGATGATAGGTGAGTGTGATTGTGAAGCAACTGGTGGAATGAAGATTGGCAAGGGAAACCGAAATACTCGGAGAAAAACTGCCCCAGTGTCACTTCGTCCACCACAAATCCAACTTGACCAGACCCCGGATTGAACCCTGGCCGCCGCGATGGGAAACCAGCGACTAACCGCTTGAGCTATGGCGCGACCTAAACTGAAGATAGAAGCGACAGGTGTTTCCAGAACATCAGTTAACGTTCATCGGATTATCTGTGAAGATGCTACTCTTCATAACAACCGCTCTGAGAACCCAAAATCCTGTAAGGAGTATATATTTTCGTAAACTCCTCTTAGCGGTCGTGGTAATGCAATGAATCAAGGGGCGAGAACAGCTGGAGAAATGAGAAAAGTGTTTGTAGCGTAAGACCATCATGGAAAATGTCCGCTTTACGAGTACGAAACACGGGAAATTACGAAAAGAAATGAAGTTACTAGTTAGAAACTGGTTATTGGAGAAGAGCTTATGGGGAGCTGCGGAAATGGTCAGGGTGCCAGAGGAGATGAAGTAAGAAGGAAGTCGAAAGTTGAGGAATTAATTGATCAAACCACTGAGGATAAGAAGCTTACAGGACACGAACACTTGCAAAGGGCTGCGGAAAGTTGATGGATAATGACAATGCAGAACTGGAATCAGCGAAGATAATTAGAGAAGATATTATCAAGAGAACCATAATACAGGGTGATTCACGAAGTTTTACTCAGGCTTATGGTACATATTCCTGAAAAATTTCCTTATAAGCTTGTGGTCGATTTTCAATAGTTACGGAGTAAAAATAGATTTTCGAAACGCATCATTGTGAATGCAGCGCTATGCTTCAGCCTGGGCGACCATACGTTCCAGTCAGCTATGTCAGCAAATGACGTAGACCGGTTTGAATGTTGAGCGTAGGTAGATAGGCAGAGCGGTTCATACGCGTGCGACGCATTGTGTTGACGTGCAGGGAGACATTTTTGAAAATCTTATGTAAATCCAGTCGTCTTCTAAAGCACTACAGTTTAAAGGAAACAGATTGATAGAAGGGTGTGATATGCAACCATTGGTATGTTTACAGAATGGGATGCTGAAAATAATGTAATTTTGTAACACAAAATCGATGAAAAATGTTGCACAATGCAAAATTAAGAAATTGAAAAAAAAAATGGTTTTAGAATGCTTCTTTCCTAAAACATTAACGATTTAAAAAGTGTTTGTATTGTATTTCTAATTTGTTTTGACTGAAATACACGTACAGCTTAGATAGCCGTGCGTTACAATTCATAACAACTGTAAGAATACAAAGTAGATATAAATTTCATTCTAAAGTCTACAGTAGCTAATTTTTCAGAATTTCTCGGAATTTTTCGTCCAACTTAATTTATTTCGTTACAACAGTCTGTAGTATCGTGGAGTCAATATGTTCCTCTTCCCGTCCCTAATAATTTTAACGTTCAACTCCCTAATAATATTTTAACCACAAGAAACTCTGTGGAAACTTCATACTTCTAGTTTCTAAACCATGTTTGTAGACCATCGCTTTAATTTGCAACTTTATTTAAGGTAATTCTGTATACAATACAAAACAGACTGATATTCGAGCAAACTCTGCATTTAGTTTTCAGTCTGACGACTAGAAATAACTTATCATTACACCTGCACGAGAAAACTGTATCGTATAATGGAAACTAGCATATCTGCAGACGTCTAATTTCGTTACATGTCAACATTTAAAAACACGGCGAAACATTAAGCCTTGAGGTTATAATGGATGTAGCTAAGGTAATCAGAATATCTCCTGGTGAAGCTACACACAGGATCCTTTCTAAAATTATGTAATTACTTACTTATCTTACCACACAGTTTGGCTAATTCGAAGGAGGGTTGGAAACATATGCTTTCCCAACAATATCTTGCTTTTCAGGATTACTGGGACTTTGGACTTTATCCATTGTCCGGTATTCTAAAGAACACAACGTTTCGGAAACTGGATCTGTTTACGTCCTCGGGTGAGAGGGTGTGGGACACCTACTCTGTTAGGTTCATTAGAAAGAGTTAACAGTGACTGAAGTTAGCTCTTTGTAACAAAACCAACATAGTAGTTGGCTCTTACCCCTTCACTCGAGGATGGAAAGAGATACAGTTTCCGAAACGTTGTGTTCTTTAGAATGCCAGACAAAGGACAAAGTAAAGAAATTTAGAAATCTCGCGTGTTACACAACATCGACAAAACCGTTTAAGTAGTTACTATAGGATTCTGACGATGGTGTATAACACACTGATATATTGGGTTTCTGGACTTTATCCATCATCCAGGTCCAGTGATTGAGGCTAGCTCTTTCTAACGGACCCAACAGAATAGGTGTTCCCCTTTCCTTCACCTGAGGACGGAAACAGATCCAGTTTCCGAAACGTCGTGTTTTTATTTGTTATCTTAAAAACCAGGACGATGGATAAAGTCCAGAAACCCAATATATCAAAACCGTTTAAGTTCTATATTGCTTTTGTTTTCCTCCTCTTAGAATTCTCTGTGATTTAACTACCTAAAGGCTGGATTTCTTCCGAAAAATAAATACAAATTTACTTCGAATCTAACAGGAAACATAATATGTCCCACTACATCAGCCTGTTAATGTTGTCTAGGGAAACAATTGCTCTTCGTTCTGAGAAATATAACCTCTCTGCAGGCGGAATGCAGATTGCGCCATACTCAAGCAGGCGGCACCTAGTGTCGCGGCCGGGCTTTAAGAGTTTAAAGAAGAAAACCAATGCCACCTGAAAATTTGAGTGAATGTGACATTGGCATAACCCAAGGAGTGATCATGCCAAATAATAAAAACAGAATAACAGTAATATACTTTCTTTGTAAATCATGCTTACCCGTATATTTAGAATTTAATAGATAGAATATATGTTTATTAATATTACATAATAATGTCTGCTTTCAGTTAGTCAATTTAAAACAGAACCTCAGTTGCTTTTACTGACGCGTCTTCGTAAATAAGCAAAGGTCCCATTATGGCAAGTATTTATCGTGATATCCACATTTTCGATCCGCAAGACTTCCAGTCGCAATTGCAAAGATATCAGGATATCTAAACGAAGCAAAAACATTAAAATACTTTCGTACATATAAATATATTACCATCTTAAAAGCATTGTTTATTTTGTCTCATATACATCTTATCGTACTCACGCATTTCTGTCTCATACGGCCATCATCAGGTATGTGTGGGCCCTGCTTAAATTGTTTAACTGTATGATTTACTTTGTGTCACGTCTGTACTCGATGTTAGTTGTTTAATTATTTTTTTCGTAGTAATAATTTTTTAAATTTCATTAAAATATGTATAAAAATTCTGTTGCACTGTACTTGGTGCCGAGGAGTGGATCTTATCTGTACTAAGTAAAGAAATGTATTATGTAGCATCTTATTTTTATTGTTTTATAGATCTTCTTTTAACAGTTGATATTTACGTATGTGTTTAAAGCTGTGCGTATAGTTGTTTGTGCAGTGTATACATTCGTATATTACCTGTAACATGTAAATGGTTGCGACAGCTGTCGCCACAATAAAGTGATTTATAATGAATCGATATTTCAAAATTGAGTATTTATTTCTTGCTACATGTTTCGGCCTCATAGGACTATCATCATCTAGGTCACTGACTCATAATATGGATTCACATTAGTGCAACATGTCATATTCCAAGATACAGAATTTGTGCCTTGAGTTAAATATAAATATTGAAATTAAATAATAAAATATCAGGGTCAGATATAAATATATGTTACAAGGATATTCACTTTGAATGAATATATTAAAAGTATTGCAAAATATATTAAAAATTACAAAAATTATTAAAAATTTTGTATGCCAACTTTCAAAGGTTATAGTACCCAATGTGGGTTTAAGCTACATCATTCTATATGTAGTTCGAGGATCCATGTTGTTAGGCGTCCACATTGTAAGCGATCATAGTGCCCAGGGGTATGTGTCGATGTATAAATGTATCTGGAAGCTATTGTAAGGGGTTGTTTTGTGTAATGCTAAGGTACATGTGTTCATCGGTATAAAGTTGTGTAATACTTGTGGTCATTAATTATATCGTGTGTACTTCCTTGTATGGGCGTTATACTGGGTATGTACTTCACCATGCTTAGCTTAATGAGAGCAATCTGTAATATTTGAGATATATTATTTTACATTATATGCATGTTTTGTGTTATGTATTTACTCTTTGTGCTACGTAGATATGTTATGCTTATATTTGTTCCAGTGTCTTGTCTATATACAACTCCCTACTGGGCTGATTTTATTGTTGTGATCTCCGTGTGGGGAGATGATGAATGCACTCTGTGGTTGGTACCGCTTTTTAAGAAAGGGACAGGAGTGTGTGCTGCTATTAAGGCAACAGGATACTTCAGTACAACATTACAACCAGATGAACAAAACCTGAATATTTATTTGGTTCCTCGAGAAAGAGTTTTATGTTTGCGGAAGGCGCCACTTCAGACACGTTTCAGGAAATAATTCTGAAATGTTAAGCAGCACAAAAGATTCGTTGTGATTCATGAAAACCGACAGAAATGCAGATTGTAGCAGTTGCGCACATTTACGAAAATGAACTCACCCCATTTTCTACGATGACTTCAGGCTGATTGACAACTATGCGGTACCACAACAGCCACAGGGCATTGTTGATTGCAAATGACGCGAAGAGATTCATGTGCAGAGTGGTCCTCGCGCATCGCAAGGACCTGTGGAAGCAGAAGCACAAAAATCACTTCATGTAGAGGCGAACATGTTCATGTTTAGGGTCATACTTCCGTGCCACAGGACCTGCAGAAGTAAATAGTACTCGAGCTCCTATTGCACACATACTGAACCGACAGATACCTACTTACAGATTAAGATAGACTCCTTTCTAATGAAATGCTTACAGATTTAAACACATACTGGTAATCAGATTCATTTCTACGCGGGCACCCTGTACATTTAAATGCTCTGTCGATATTGCGATTTCAAGATGTCGACAGCAGGGATCTACTGAAAACAGGAAATAAAGCCTACATTTTTGCTGTGGTGTAACCCAGAACTAATTTTCATCCTGACTGACTGACTGACTGACTGACTGACTAACTGCATGGAAACGATTTCTTCTTTGGAAGCCACAAGTTGCGTACCTACTCAAGAATTTCCAAACATTTTATAGAACCAGAAAGTTAATTACCATGTTCACAAGAGTCCTCCACTGGTCACTATTCTGGGCCAGATAAATCTAATCAACACTACTTCATCCTAAGATTAATTTTAATATTTTTCTCCCACCTGCATACAGGACTTCCTAGTAGTGTCTCTTCTTATGGATTCATCCCAAATTACCATATTCATCCTCCTTGACCTGAACATTCTAATTGCATGTGACGAAGAATACAAGTTGCGAAACTCCTCATTATGCAATTTTCTCTAGCCTCCTCCTGCCATTTCATCTCTCTTCGGCCCAAATAATCTCCTCAACACCATTTTCTCAAACACCCTCAGTCTATGTTCCTCCCTTAATGTCAGTTTCATACACATACAAAGATACAAGCAACATTATGGTTCCGTATACTCGTATTTTTTTACATCCACTACTAGACATATATTGAATGTTCATAATTTCAAGGTAACATCACGGCATTTTCTGGAGAAACTTGGGAAAACAAAGAACCTGTCAGATTACCTTGATCCTGTAATCTCTCGAACAGTAAGCAACAGTGTCAGTACATTCTGAAGAGTTCTGAAGATGTGTACAGCACTCGGGATTGTTGGGTTTTTGGACTTTGCCCATCGTCCGGTATTCTAAAAACACAACGCTTCGGAAACTGTATTTGTTTCCGTCCTCAGGTGAGAGGGTGTGGGACACCTATTCTGTTATGTCAGTTAAAAAGAGATAACTTCAATTACTGGATCACTTGATCCAACGATTGAGGTTAGCATTTTGGATCAGAACCAAGAGAGAACATGTCTTCCACCCCATCGTCCGAGGTTAGAAACACGTCCAGTTCCCGAAAAGTTGTGTTGTTTAGAATATTGCAAGATTCAAGAAGTCCAAAAAATAGAGAAGCTGTTTTCTATGGGATCTGCGCCGCGACCGTTACTAAGCAATGGTGTGGTATACCCAGCCAAAACAAAATGGCACAATACATGACAGTGTTTTCCATGGAGTCGGAGCAAAGTGGTTATATGGAAGAATTCAATTGAGAAATACTTGTACAGAGTGAGATTAGACACCCGTGTGGAGTCGGGGTCGAATACCTCCACCGTGGCCCTGCGAGTTGTAGGAAGGGGCGAAAAGGGAAGTGTCAACTCTGAGACAGTAAAATATGGTCACGAATCCCAAGGGACTCGGACTCGAAAAAGACTGCGCTGGCAAGGGCCAGCAGCACATACAAAATAGAGACTCATCCTCTGAGGGTGCCCCACGAAAACAAGACTGTCAAACAGCAATAAATATCTGGTCGTGAGCCCAACATGGGGCTCGACACCTAGACTTTCTGACTGACTGACCGTCAGTCGCAAAGTAACTAAGGAAATACAGAGTGGAGAGTCGAGTTTCGTGACGCCAGCCTGCCAGGATATGAGCTTGGGATCAGAGGAATTGAACTGAGTCGAGTCTTCGGAATTGGCAGTTGCAGAAGAATGGCAAGAAGGGAATCAGGCCGTGAAAAGAAAACGTCACGTGTGATTTGAAGTTACAGTGAGGCTTATAAATCCGTTGTCAGGATACGAATAGTGAAAACTGAGAAACTTTGTGTGTGCGTAACGGTGAACTGTAAAGTGTGTAGATCAGCAATATCGCTGTATTTCCTGTAGTCCCGAGTTGTTAGAATAAGGTATCAATAAATCCGATCATCCAATTCAAAATCCCGTCAATCCATCACCCCTGAACGTGACATTATTATTGATATTGTGGCGTATTCACTCCATTCACGCAACAATAGGACATAGGGATTATACAATCCGTTTCTATGCAACGGTTCGCTAAACATTTTCGTGTATCGGACCACACCAACCAAACAGAAAACAGCATCTATTGTTGTAAAGGAGTGTTACCGTGACGTTGCATAGCAGCGATCTCGGCGCCTACTGCATAGAAAACGCCGTATTTATATTGTTGCCTTGCGTGTATTCGGTCGCAAGGTGTTTAACGGTCAGTTACCTAGCAACGCTCTGGTCATCCACGTTAAAATTTTTTGTTTCAAAATTTATTAGAGCTACTTCGTTTTATAAGATTTCCTTCCAATCCACTTGTTCGACTCCAGTTTGTGTATGTATATATATATATATATATATATATATATATATATAATTAGGCGTACTACAGGTTGTTGATTTTAGCGCATGCTCATGCACTGTAGCAGTTTTAATATATTAAGACACATGAACATGGCCATCTAGGGCCGAAACATGCGTTAAAAGCGTAAGTTGAAGTGAAAGGGAACAATTTGTTGCATTATTGACGGACTGTGTTATACATAGACGTTTAAAGAAATCTCAGACATATTTAGCCTTGTTTGGGGAGGCATAAGGCCACTACAATCATTGACCCTCTTCTTCAACGACTACATTGTCCTTACTCGCAGTTAAATGTATTATTTGACATTACTTGCACAAGTACACAAGTCATATACATTCTGAATTTTCGCCTTTCTATATACCACTGCTATACTCTATCAACATGGACTGCGTATTTGCGTCTCTATTCTCAAACATACATTAAACAGAGAGCTTATGCAGTCGAAGTGTTCTAATATCCCAAAAGATTCAGGGCCCTTCTCTAAATAAAAGATGAATCCCTCGCTTGCTGACTCACTCGATTTGGAAAATGAGATGTTTATATTTAATTTAAATTTACCAGCCAACTGTATAAATTACGAATTGGACATTAAATTGAAATTACATCTTGAATAGCACATTAATACAACGGATGACATCAGCGCCACCAACAAGCCATATTTTGTGACAACTTGCCGAAAAACGTGTTACGAACATCTACTACACTTACGACAAAAAAGGTTTTCGCCTTTATGATAAGTCAAAATTATAAGATTGGCAATTTACTTTTATTAAACAACATGTTAATTTTACAACTTTACTGTTACTAATTAAACTATGTAAATAATACTGAGCCGCTATGGCCTTTTCATTTATACGAATGAACAACAAATATTCATTATTCTTAATTAAATCATATTAATTCCAGCTATTAAATATAATCTAATAATAAAATTTCAAGATTGATTTATGATAATTTTACCGAAAATTATATACAATTATAATAATCTTAAATTGCCTCATTATTTGTAAATTTCTCTAACATTCAGTTTCATCTTCGTCCCCATTGTGCTCTTCCGTCTCTTTCGTATTCACGTAATCATAATCTGCGTCCTCTTCACTTTCATCGTCGGCTTTGTTCTTCTTCTTACTATCCTGTAGCAGTCTCTGTGCCTCCTCTCCCTTCACTACTTTCACTTTGGTCGGGTCTATGGGACTGGCTACTTTATCAGCTACATTTTCAAGGGCTTCGTCTGAAAAATTAAAATCATTTACATCTTCTTTCATTGGTATCTGGAAGATCTTGAACTTTTCGGGATGTTCTTTATCTACTACCAGTCCTTCCTTTATAGTGGTAGTTTCCTCATCACATTTATTCTCATTTCCTTTATAGAATATCTTCTTTTTGCTCTCTTCATTGTTCCTCTCTTCGTCCTCATCGCATTCTTCCTCCTCATCTTCTTCGTCTTCTGTACATTGCCCTTTATCCCTAAAAATGTTCTCACGATTTTCTTCTTTCTCAATTGGTTTCACTTCGTTTTTGCGACAACCTGAAGAAGTGTCATATCTCTGCTCGTCCTCAAGAGACACTAATTCGTCATCCAAAGATACTTGACGTTTCGGAGACTTCTCGCCACAAGGTTCCTTACTGGTGCACGATTCCTTGTGAGAAGGTTTCTCTTTCTTGCATTCACTTTCCTCGATGATGACTTCACTATCTTCAAATGGAGACTGTTTAACACATTCTACAACCCTTAACTTGTGACCCGGTTTGTCAATGCAGCCACTGCATTTACTCCATTCACTAGTGCGCCATCTGATTTTACACGTTTGCTCATTGCATAACCTTGTGTTCACTTCGGGTTTTGGAAGATTTTCACAGTGTTTGTTTGACACCTTTCCTCCTCTCTCTTCAATACAGGATGGTTCGGAGAACTGGGTTCCTCCTCCGCAAAAAACGCTGCAGGGGCTCCAGTTGACAAGTTGCCAGCTAAATTTCGGCTTATAATTTGAAGACGTGGATGGAATTGAGAATCTATAATGTATACCTGGATTTGGGTTCGCACTATTAAGGAGGTACAGAATGATATCTTCTTTAATGGGACCTGAGATGACCAAAGATTCTTGCCCCGGCTCCACGTTAGAATAAGCGCTTATTGATCCAGCGATTTTGCTTTCTCCATCAGGATCAATTTCGTGATTTCCATTCAGATAAAATGTCTTACCATCTGCTGCTGAAACTGCTAAGAAATTGTTGCTTGGCTTCATCTCTTCTACAGTGATTTGTCTAGAGCCTGCTGGTATAGTTACGATTTTCTTATAACCCTTTCCATTCTCTCTGTACACTTCGTCAACGATTTCACATGTGGATGCGTCACCATTACACACTCCGCAAATATCTTCCACTGCGTCAGAGTCCAGAACCAAATCACAACCAACATTCCTACATCTTCCAGCAATGCATTTGTTTTTAGTACCTCTCTTGCATGAAGTTCCATCCTCCACTCTGCGTTTCAAAGTTTTTACCACATACTTGTTGCTCAAACACATCAAGGAACACACATGTTCAGGCTTGCCATCATTAAAAGGGGTCCACTTGATGTCATCTTCATTGTGTTCTTGACATTGAAACTCTCGAAAAGTTAATGAATCTTCAGCACAAGGCTCTATATTACACAATCTGTACTGCCGGTGCTTCCCAACGCAGTACCGTCCATTGTTGGCAGGCCTGGGATTGTTGCACTTCCGTTCAATGTATTGCGCGCCACCGCCACAAGTCCTTGAACACTCAGACCAAGAACTCCACTCACCCCATTCACCGTTGATGGCTCCCGGTCTTACGCCGACTTCAACGCATTTGCCTTCAAAGCACCACTTATTATTTCCACAGCTTGTTCCATCGGCTGGTGGACCCTTTGTCTGGCATTTTTTACTACCATGTGGTTTGCAACTGAGGTGAATACAATTCCTTTCTGGGCCAAGATCACAAGGTTCCGTAGGTCCATAATAATCACGACATTGCCACGCGCGGTCATACACGACGCCAGGAGGCATTTGCGGAAATTTGAAATCGTGGTCTTGAGGTTCGTCCAAAAGACATGCGCCTAGGTCGTTCTCCAAAAATTCGGTGATGTAATTCCTGCTGCAAACCGACCAGTTTGCAGGTGAAACCTGAGACCACGATGCCATAACGTGAATATTAAATTCGCCAACTGCCCCAGGGCATTCTCCTGGTGGTGGATTGTCCTCATCAGAATCGTGGTTAGCACCCAGCAGATGCCCGATTTCATGTGCCATTACGGTACCCACGACTAAGCCCGTATCCTGGCAAATAGCACAGGATAAATCCTTCCCACAGCAACCTGCAATATTAGCAAGTCCGACAGCTCCACAGTCGTCCATTCCTGCACAAATGTCGTACTTCGTAAAAAGGACAGCAATGTCATGGTGATTTGGATGTGATGTTGCAGGATTGATCCTGGTAGCCCATTTACAGAAACTTGTTAGGGTTTCATCAGCGTCTATGTTGATAGTAAGGTCAACCTCTTCCTCTTCCTTTTCCAGATATATGACGCGAACCAACGTCAAGTCCAGTTGATGTCCTACAGAGTCGTCATGGAAAATATCAGCAGCCATGTTCACAGCTGTGAGGAGAAATTGTTCATAATCTGTGCCATTTCGGGTCTGCAGGAACTTTTTGTCTGCTACGACCAATGTTTCCAAATAGTTGGTCTTTCCTTCATAAGATCTTTTGCCGCGATTATCTTGCATTGAACGGTAGGTGTCTTGTCTCTTAGCAAAGTCAGCTTTTAAGTCAGTGTAAGGTCCTTCTCTTTGGTGGTACTCGGCTCTTAAACGGTTTGCCCATGCTGTTTCCCAGTCATCACTCGTCCCGCATGATCGTTCGTTTTTATTATGTACGGATCTCTGATAGACCATATGTAAGTGTTGGCCGTCTTCTTCCGGTTCATGGTCTTTCACAGGTTCGATGTAGTAGTGATTCTGTTTAGTCCTGATGTGACCGGCTATGCCATTGCAGACAGACAGCGCGACTCGTGAGCCATGCTCTCCTTTGATCCAACCAGTGTAATGGCACTGTGTGTCCCCCACAGATCGAATCTTCACCTTGTTCAAGTCAGTGGCAGCTCCAGATGGGCGAGTCTCCACTAAGAATCCGGGTGCAAGTAAACCATGGTTCGGCCACATTTCCACCACGTGGTCCTTTCCATCGAAATGAATGCCATAATGCACTCTTTCGTCATCAAAACGTGCATTTCTTTTCCATCTATTGGTATCTCGCTCAAAGAAATGAGGCAAAGAGTAAGATACGAAAGAACCTTGATGGTCGACTTTGCGAGGCACCAGCAGCTCGTAATCATCAACGTGCCGTGTAAACCTGCCTTCTAGCAGCCTGTCTTCCCATCCATTATCTGAAAATCGGAAGGCATAAGAAATATTTGCTATTAAGTAGAATGTGACCGAAGCGAAGAGCAAAGATGCAGATATCTTCGCCATTCTTCAAACAGATATCCAATTTCTTGCGAAAAAACGGACAACGTCCCACTTCTGAAGCCTTCGTCACGTGTTACTTAAGTAGACAAGTTGATCGCACTGATAATTTGATTTACTGAACGCTTATTACAATTAAATATAAATAATTGTAACACTCTCACTAATATATACTCTTCACAGATCACTACAGCATATAACACGTCTTCTCAATCAGTGTTTACTCTTCGTCGCTTGTTAGAACTTCCAATTTATAGGCTCTGCACGGACCACATTGAAAATAATCCTTCCAACTATACATCTATTGTTGCGTGCGTATTCATTGTCGCGAAAAATTGTTTACCTAGCCGTTACCTAGATACACCTTCTGGTTCTATTATTACGTTTTCAATTTTAAAATCGCAATACTTACTGAAATATATTCAATAATGTTACTGGACCATAAAGACATTGATTAAAACTTTAATACTTGATAAAATTATGTTCGTCAGGTAAGCATTGATGATTATAAACAGGAATCGTAACAACAATAGTTTTCATTCAGGACGTAGCTATTGCGTGCGAAGATTTCCAGGCCCTCAAGTTTGCAAAACGCATCTAAAATTTTAAATTTTGGGATTCGCACGACGTAAACAGTCCGGCATGCACCTCCACTTGGCCAGTCTCGCTATAGATTAACATCTGCAACAGTACACTTGGAGAGCATATTGAAATGAAACATGCCATTTCTAACAATCTTCTTCGAGACGAACAACAATAAACACACTTGCAGTTCTTCATACATTGTTGCGTCAATGCGTTACTTTCATACGTTTCTTTCTCATGCATAATTTTCAGCGACTCGCTAAAGCAATAAATTGCAGTAAGCAAAAATCACCGCCCTCACAAAATGCCCTCAATAAAACTACATGTTACAGCACTGGAGAGGCAGTGAAAGCGGTCAAGTCCACAAGGGCAGAAACAAGTATGTCATTAACACAGTGAAGAAAACTGCAATGAAACGAATGAATATTGTTACAGGTTACTCTATATAGAAACAAACTCTCTCACTACCACACAGCAGATGGTGGAATTTTCACCCAAAATATTAACTTCCTGCGGGGTAAGCAGTAGCGTAGTTGGTTGAGACACTATGCTACAATCCGGAAGGTCGCAGTTTTGATTCTCGGTGAGGTCATTGGATTTTTCACTTGACCTAATCCTTCCAGGAATCTTCCTAGGGGTTAGGGGCCGCCGGCGCGTAAGGCTGACAACCCCATCGCCATTTGTAAGCCGATTGTCAAGAAAATGTGAGAGCCTCGACGTCACACAGCCCTATGGGCCTCCATTGCCTGTTACAGGAATAGCTTTACTTTTTATCAGATGTTAAGCATCGCTCAATGCGTTTTACTCCTGTATAAGTAAAAGAGTGCTCATTCAAAGCTTCCTTACTGGCGCTTTACTTTGCACGTTTCACACTCATTCTGGCTAAAGTAAGAGATATGTAGAAAATTTTAGAATAATACGAAATGACAATGGAAATATTGGCAACAAAAGGGCAAGCGGAAGAACACAATAATGGTAATGGTGGTAACACTGAACACTTGATTCACAAAGGATAAATCTCCATGCAATAGCCTTCCTTTTTGTGTGTCAGTTTCTAGAATTGTAATTGAAATAAAGATTTTGTTAATAGATCAAATACTGGATCATTTTGTGGGCCGTCCTATATATATTCCCTGGCCGTAAGTAGGCAACGTCTCGGTAAACATATTCCTGGCCTTTTCTAGGCAATGGCTAGGTAAACACGATCCCCCGGCAACAAATAAGCAAGGTCTGTGTCGTATCAAATACTCAATATGTAGTGAAAGGAAAGTAGCTATATCTTCTTCCCAGAACTTCTGTTAAGTTTGCTATTTAACGACGTTTGCAGTACCGATATTATGCAGAGTTGGGGATAGAGTGATTGGTGGATATGGAAAGGCTGGCAGAATGAAAACTGGCAGGAGAAGCTGAAGTACTCGGAGATAACCTGCCCAGTGCCACCTTATCCAACACCGATTCCATGTGATCTCGCATGGGATCGAATTCGAGCCGACGGGATGGGAAACCGGTGACTAACCGCTCGAGCTGTGGAATATTACCATTCAGATATAAATCTCTGGAGGGTTTCGCGAGGGCGAATATCGATATTATCACTGGGAAGGCTGAATTAAGGCAAAGCTCAACGAAATAACATCCAGGAGCTCAGTGTCAATTGCACAGAAAATACACTGCGCCTCAATTACAAAGACCAATCGGTGAACAATCCTCATGGAGGTAATTTTTGTTTATTGTTGGAATTATATAAAAGCATAATACTGTGGCGTACAGACCCGTTGCTGTGCAATGACTTTGTAAAGAGCGGCCGTTGTTAGGTAACGCCCGTAAGAAACACGCAAAAATAGAACAACGGCGTTAGGCGATGAATTTCTAAACACCGGATCGGTAAATACGCCTACAGTAATAGGGATATAGCTGGAAACTGTGTTTTGTATTAGGTGGTTATAAAAAAAGAGTTAGTTGAGAATCAGCAGTCGAGCTCCGGAGTAATAGGTTGAGAGTTGAAATGTGGAGTGTTAACCAAGTAGCAACGGCGTGGTTACGCCGTTGCGTGGTTAGGCAATCACTACTGTTAAGATTCGTTACCAGGAAACGTCTAGTGAAATATTGCAGAGGAATAGCCATTGTTGGTAACTGTTACCAAGTAACGACCAGTGAAAGCAGACTTAGAAGGCTTGGCGTGGAGTGATTTGTAGTGTGGAAATCAACAATCGTGTTATAGTTACGGCCTGTAAGAGGACAATAAACCCATTAAGCAATCCAAACCCCGTCTATAGTCACACATAGTTGTGACAATAATCTGTGTGGGTAACACGTAGAGTTACTTGATCTCAATGATGTGGCACGTACAGTAACCCATCTACTTTGAAACATTAACACAGTGACGATGAGATGGGACTGAACATTTCCCACCACACTCCCGTTTCCGAAAAATTTCTACGTAATCATTCCTTTTAGTGCACTTGCGAGTAAGGTAAATGTCCGTTCTTAGGTTATATAATGACACTGGTTCAATCGCAGAGGCTATATAAAGCACAATGGGATGTGAAGAGTATTATTAACGTGAATTAAGCATAATAGATCAATGTGGTCGCGGTGCAAGAGCCAAGAGGCCCCACCCCTTATACTTTCATTCATTCAACCTAGGATTTGAAAAGAGGTCGTCGTTGCCTATTGGAAGATACTAACCCATTATTCTTTCGAAGAAAGAGGGGGAGACTATAAATAATCTCGTTTAACTGAACGAGATTCAAACCTGGTATCTAATGAGTATTAAATCTAGAACATTAGGGCATGATGCACTGTGTGTCTGTGTGTAAGTGTGACAGGTTGGTTCTTAGGTAATTTTACGACAATATTTCCATTCACGGGCCATATAACGTCGCAAAAAATTAATATAATTAGGACTGATGAGTAAGTAAGGGTGTGAATGAAGATGGATGTATTTCATACCTAAATTACTTAATAATGTGTTTTCAGTACTGGCGCTATGTAGTGCCCGATTGGAGGATGATGGATGGATGAAATGGATGGAACTTGGAAGGAAACGACTGTGGTGTAATCGAAGTATTTGCTTGAATCTGCCTGAGGAGAATGACGAAAGCTACGAAACGATCCTCAGCCACGATTGTTGGTGTCCTGGCAGAGATTATTGTAGCACGTAGCCCACTGAGAGGCAACGACCGAGAAGCAAAAGGAATAACGTCTATTCGTAAATACGGAACAGGACTGGATCCGTTGCTAGGCACCAGCCCGCCTGCAACAATGGAAGTGCTGTTGGAAGCGGTGTTTTCTGTGGAGTCTCTTCGAGGGTGTATCACTCAACCCACCGAGTCGAGTGGGGTTAATTAGTGTAATGAAGTGGAGGAGGTTGGAGCGAGTTGGTTGGTGAGTTAGAGGACTACTGCGGTTCAGGCATTGCGAGCTGTTACTGTTAGAAGCTGGTAGCTGAGGCACGGCGATAGTTCGGGTACCCAGTGTAAGGGGAACGACGGCCGCTGAAGCCGTTACCGGGAAACGAGTAGTGAACACAGAGGAAACTTAGGAAACTTATTATGTGCTGTAGTGAATTGCAGAATGTGTGAATTAGCGATAGCGCTATAGTTACGTGTAGTTACGATCTGTAACTACCATTAATTTTATTTGGTTGATTCTGGTTCGTCACACTAGCAAAAAAATATCAACTCCGTCCAATGTGACTGATAAATGTTTTTTCTCATTTTTAATCTTACATCCTTGATATGTTTCGGTCGGAAAGACAATCTTCAAAAGGACATCTCAATACTTGCGGAAAATACTATTACAATGTGATTAGTCGTTATCAGTACATACGAGTACATACACGCACAATATCGTTACAATGTCATGAATATAAAATATGAGCCTTTAACAACTACAGCGATACGCCTGATTTTTTGCAAAATATTTATATCTACTATAGCGTACTTGGTTGAGGCACTATGCTGCAAGCCAGAAGGTCGCGGGGTCTTATCCTGAGGAGGTGGATTTTTTTTTTCAATTTACCTAATCCTTCCAGCTGCATTATGGCCCCGGGGTCGGCTCAGCCTCTAACAGAAATGAGTTCCAGGAATATTCCTAGGGGTAAAGGGCAGCCGGCGCGTAAGGCTGACAACCTTGCCGCCATCTTTGAGCCGATTGTCTAGAAAATGTGGGGACCTCAACATGTCACAACGCTATGGGCCTTCAGGGCCTGTTACAGAGATAGCTTTACCTTTACTTTTCTTACTTATTATAATTAGTC